CTGTTTGGTCTCTCCTATGTAGAGGTCTGAGCATTCCTCGCTGCACTGTACAGCATACACCACATTGTTAAGTCTGTGTTTTGGAGTTTTTCACCTGAAAGACAAAACTCCAAAACACAGACTTAACAATGTGATGTATGCTGTACCTCCACTTGAGGAGTTTGCCCCCTCACATATACTAATGTGCCACAAACAGGACTTTAATATCACCAACCATTCCCATGTTATTACGGTGTATCCATATAATTGTCCCACCCTGTAGATCACTTCATTTTCATTAACACATTTAGCTGGCCTGTGGGCTACACTTTGAGAACCTAGGATCTACTGCCAGTGCAGATATGAAGCATTCAGCTCCATATATGGAAAGATTCCAGTGCTGTTGTGTGCAAGTCATTCAATAAATGAATATAAAAAGGTCAAAAAGTTCATATTAAACACAGCTGCTGTTTAGTTCCATAGACAACATACAAAATATTTATAGCTCAAGTGGGCAGTAGGTTCCTTTTTACATAGTTGTGCACACAGTTTTTGAGACCAGAGTCCCAGCCTGCGGGACATCTGAAACAATGCAACTTTAAGGCACTGCCACAACTAAGAAAAAGTATAGAAAGGGGAACTGACTGAGTGAAGGCATGTGATCGGACATTAGCCTACCTATGATAACATGCATGCCAAGGCTTGCCAGGTGTCTTGCTGTTTCAAAACCAATTCCTCTGGTACCCCCAGTCACAATGGCAACCCTTCCATTTTGCTTGGGTAAGACTGTGTAGGAGGAGAGAGGGGACCACATAAGAACATTGCACAATCTTTCATTTAAACTCTGGCGAGGTTCAGTAACGATGAGGTTTAAGACAATGCTGGGACAAAAGTCTTCCGTGACTGATCTATTAACAGTCATCTGTAAATATGCAGCAGCAACACAGCATTCGAAGAATCAACAGAACAGAATTACAGTGAGTGCAGATAAGTCTATACACACTTTTGTAAGTCAGGTGATTTACAAGAAGCTTTTTCTATGGTTACTCAGCTGGTTTTGTATAGAACTTAGAAACATATCTGAAATTAATTATAAATGCAATGACATGTCATTCTACTTGACTGCCACTGGGAAATACAATGACCAATTACCCAGGCCAGTGACTGACATTTTTTAATAGTGTAATGAAGAGCATGACATGTGGATTTCTTAGATCAATTTTCACAGAACCTTTCTTGTAGCGCTCTTTAAGAAATAAATACCAGTTACTCTGCTTTGTTTTGCTTGTAACCCAGGAAAACAGCAGGAATATATGAAACCTATGAAATACACCGCTCCAGAACAGACTGGTGAAATCCGTTTGTATGACTGCATTGCATTTTCAAATATTGAACATTGTTCCCATGCAAAGTGAAGACATCAAGCAGCCAGACAAGCAAAACCTTTACTCACATTTATTATCAGTCAGTTCTGCAATATGTGGACAAGTATTTACAAAGTACATAGCCTGAATGACACTTGAGGGGACAAAAGGACAACTAAACATCAGAGTATACTAGGAAGTCACAACAACTGATCGGTGAGGTAAGATGCGCCCAACTACTATCAAAGGTTTCTGCAAGTCTGCCGAGGCATTCGTCCCCCAACATACAAACCGGAAGATTTTCACATGGTTAATGAGTTTAAAATATTCTATTTTAATCTGTACCATGATCTTCTCCTAACCATTGCAATGTAGTTTTGGTACATAAATCTCAACAGCAACTGAAAATTAAATTTAACAGCAAATAAAACATTGTTGTTGTTTCAGACTGTCTAAACTGATCGCCCTAGTGGTATTTCTTAAGAGATATTTATGAACCAATAATTCACCTAGCAGTAAATTACACGTTTCCTTATCACATAATATCATGTTTAAATGTATGAAGTTTAAAGAGATATAATTAATCATTCCAACATTGGCTTGTGGTACATGCATTGTCACTTCACTGGTGGGAAAGGAGTCTGATCCTAAGCAAGCGAGTGACGGCGACTAGATAGTTAGGCTCACCTCAGTGCACAGCTTGGGCACTGGAACCAGTTTCCTGGCCTGTACTCTGTTCCACTCTATACTTACTCTAAACGAAAAGAGGATGGCAGAGTGTGCTTGTAGCCCTTACTGTGGAATTTCCATGCCCACATGGGCAGCAAATGTTTTACCTGGAGAGGTGTGTTTGTGCACTACGCTCCCCCACCAAGATGTGTACAGGTGAGACCATCAAGCAAGACTTTGGGAATGGCCACAAATTTAAAAAACAAAACAAACAAACAAAAGCTGACACATTTATAATAAAGACAACACACAATATTGCTACATAAACGATAAATCTTTCTTCTGTAACCTTCCACTTCATTTTAATACAATAGAGTTTCTGTGCAGATTTTGAATGCATAAGGACATCCGCTCTGTAAAGGAGAAATGTGTTTACAGCAGTTAACTTAAAAGCTAAAGTGTCCCATATGTTATAAAGGCTGAAAACGTTGTCCCTTTATGCCACCAGTGGCTTTTCAGCCTTTAGAACCTCAGCCTTTAGCAAAGTAAATAAAGTTCTTTAAAACCTCAGTCACTTTAGTGCTGAGCCAAACTAGAGTTGGTTTCCAAAACAGTTTCAAATTCATCCTCACAGGGTTCAGGCTCATAGTAGCTCCGAGAGTTCTCATACAGGAAAACCTGCATATCCACTAGAGCTGAAGGTATGCGGTTTCTTTTCCCAGAAAGAAAAGTACCTGATGAGCTGAACAACCTATGACAAGGAACACTTGTGGCAGGAACGCACCAATACTTCTGGAGCACCTTAGGAAGTGTGGGGAACAAAGGTGCATGGTTCGACCACCAAAGCAAAGGGTCTTCATTCAGACCTAGAACCCTCTGTGACTTGTAGTTGCTCAGCTCCTCTACTACTTGAGCATGTAGCTCCTCCTGGCTCTGGTCTGCATCTGACTGGCAAAATATGGCAGCCAAAGGGTTGTCTTGAACTGAAGTGCTGGCAGAAGATTCACCCAGAAGTCCCTGTTTTTTGCAAGGTGGCTCATCAGACACCAAAGAAGAATCATCAAGGCCCGATCGCTCCGAAATCTGCTTCTCAAGGATTGCTTTGGCCTCTTCAATAATAATACTCTCAACTTTGGAGCGTTCTTGGGTGGAAAGAAAAGGCAGTTTCTTATAACGAGGATCCAAAAATGTAGCAATGTTGAGGAATGTTGCGATCTCTTGAGATAACTGTGAATTCTGTGAATATGTGCTTGACAAGACCTTGGAGATGAGCTCTTTGCTCATGCTGATCTCTTTGAGATCCCCTTCCTTAATTTTGAGGGTGGTGTTCAGCAGCATATGAAGGACAGGTCTCACCATGCTAATGGTTGGATACTTACAAGAAGTGATCATGTTTGCCACAACTTTAAAGGGCTGGAGGACTTCAATCAAGCCCTCCAACAAGGCCCAGTCAGAACCACTGAAGGTGAAATGATGGCTACTAGAACTCTCTATAAGTGTCATATTTATAACAGCCTGTTGCTCTTTCAGTCTTTGTAGCATTGCCAATGTACCAAACCATGACCGGTCCTGGTCTGTGATGAGTGTACACTGAGCAAGGCCATGTTGCTTCTGCTTTTCTCGTACTGTATACATTGCAGATTCTCTATAATGATCGACAAGCTTGCGGCAGCATCCCAAAAAGCCACTCACTCGTGGCAGCTGGAAGGCTTCAGCCATTGCATGATTGATTGTGTGTCCAAGGCAGGGCATTTCCACTGTCAGATCCAGGAGGGAGCATGCTTTCACCACATCCACCGAACCATCTGTGGTAGCCCCAATGACTTTATGAGTTATCCCCCACTTCACAAAGGCTTCATACATGGCTCTGGTGATATTCTCAGCTCTGTTGTCCTCTTGTACTTCAAAAGTTTTAAGGCATTTGTTGGTCACCGAGAAGCCAGATGCACTGTTGTAATTGATTGAATGCACAGAAAGTGAAATATATGTTCTGTTTTGTGTTTGGCTTTGCCACAGATCTGTAGCAATGCCACAATTCATAACTCCACTTAGCTCATTAAAGACCACATTTTGGGTACGGCAGTACATTTGAGGAACCATTTTGGCTGCGAGGTCACTTTTGCTTGGAGGAGAATATCCAGGGTCGACAATACCGATTAAATTCTTGAATGTAGGCTCTTCAACTGTACATACAGGATATAACCCCTCACAAATGAAGTTGATAATAGCTACTGTCAAATCATTGTGTCGTTTGTTTTCAGAGTCTAAGCTCTGCCTTAAATAGGTTTCCTGGGACTGCTGCTGTGAAACTGTAGGCTCAGTCTTTATCCGAGAAAATGCCGTAGCAAAAGCTTCACGCATCTGATCTGTGTTGCTTTTCACAAACTCACTGAACTCTATGGGATGGTTCTTTTCAAGGTGGTATGACAAGTTTGAGGTGTTTCCGGAGTAGGCAATTTGGCTCATACATACACGACAGTAAATCCTTTTCCAGTGTAATATGCAGCCATCTGCATCTGTGTCAAAGCCAAAGTACTTCCACACTTTGCTTTTGGCACGTGGGTGTGCGACCAGATTGAGGCCTGAGCACGAAGGTCCTGAACTTTTACCCTCCATTGGCTCCTTAGGTAAAAAGTCCATCAGGATGGCTTCTCTTATCGAGAACCTAACAAGAACAGTGAAATAAACATTTGATTTTGGTGATAAAAACATTTTAAGTGTTTGAGAACTGGATTTTACAAATTCTCCCAACAAGTAACATGCAAATGAGCAGATAAAATCAAATATCTGGCTAAGATAGGAATTTGCATGATGGTTACCACTGATACTGAGGTTTGCACAAGTAACCCTAACATAACAATGCCACATGAGACACTACATGTACACTATGCAATCCTGCTCTCAAAACTGACAGATTTAACACTGCCTCTGAAGCTGGATTTAAGAAATAACTGTTTAAAAGTTTACATTTTTAGAACATGTTTGGCACCATCTTGAGTTAGTACAGAATATCAGGTCACCAGGTTGGTTATTTGCAACTGATAGACCCACATTAGATTAACAAAAACTCGTTGTTGCAGCCAGGAGTAATAAAAAAATTACCCTTTGAACACATTTTTTAGTTTTAGTTTTAGTATTCTTGTTTTCGTCACTAGCTTACATAAACTTATAGAAGTCTGTTAACCACAACCAACCAACTCTGTGATGTCACATCCTGTACTGGCACAGGATAGTGCTAAGCATGTTCTAAAACCTTTAAGCACTTATTCTTATTTAAGTGTTACATCTATGTCAGTTTTTGACAGCGCATCCTCCATAGTGTAAATTAACCTTTACACAGTGTTTCATGTCCACTTTAAACCTACCTTCAATAAGTCGATTATGTTGCTGCCCTTTTAGGTCGCCACCAGAAATATTAGTCTGTTAAACAAATTACTCATATCTAATTTGTTTACCACATCATTTAACTGCTGGTTTTACTACACTACGGTTCCACCCACAACTATTTGGCAGCCACATCGTATCTAACTCAAGACCAATAACAGCCAAATGGAGCTGCAGTTCTCCAATATTTGGCTGAACAAAATAAATGTTTGTGAGTCAGAGTACTCAGACATAACCATTTAATTACAGGAATGACAATTTATAAACAGGCATATTAACATTAACCTTAAGGAATGAAGGCTATCGGTTGCAAATACTGCTAAAGCATGGCGCATTTAATGTGTGTGAAATGCTGTTCACATTCCAAAGTGGCACATGTGACGTGACACGGTCAATTCACACGCTCTTCAGCCGAATCCTTCAACTACGTTCACATTCTTAGAACCAAATTTCAAGTTTGTGTAATGGTTGTTTAGCCCTGGTGAAAATGACTGCCACAGGTCGCGCTAATTATATAAACACACTTCTCAAACAAATTAAAGGGACACTTTTTAATCAGAGTACAGCACTAAGTCAATTAAACTTCTGAGACATTGATATGGTCAGTTAAGTAGCCGAGAGGATTGTCAATCAGCTTCAGCTGCTTTGGCATTATTGAAATTAATAACAGAAAAAAAATACTGTTTAACTTTGTGGCCTTCTATATACTTCCTCTTCTATATACACTTCCTGTCGGTTACTGGGACACTTTGATTGCACTACTTTAGTACTGATGACTTTTTATAAATTGAGCACAATAGACACTGGTTTTTTTTTCTTTTTTTCATTTTTGCTATAGTTTATATATAAAAATAAATACATATCAAGAACAAAGTTATGAAAACAAAAAATAAATTTTAGGTGGTTTGAAAGGATTTTGTGCAACCTTTTATTTATAAATTGAGGTCTACATCTAGAAAAATGGCTTTCAGTTTCTTTGTGGTTTTATTGCACTTTTAACAATTTATTTAGTTACTATGAACTAAAGTTACTAAAATTAGGATTAATTAAAAAAAATGTAATATTGATGTAGAACAAATTCCATCCATCCATTCGCTTCCGCTTATCCTTTTCAGGGTCGCGGGGGGCGCTGGGAGGAAGCTGGAGTACCCGGGGAGAACCCACGCAAACACGGGGAGAACATGCAAACTCCACAAAGAAAGACCCCGGCCTGATGGTGGAATTGAACTCAGGACCTTCTTGCTGTGAGGCAACAGTGCTAACCACCATGTAGAATAAATTGAAATACTTAAATAAAAAAATACAAAAAAACAAACAAAAAAAAAACAGCACTACAGCTTGTAACAATGCAAAGATAAGCTCTGGTGACTTTTGGTGGTGGTTTTATCGTAGATGATGAAAAGTTAGCTAGAGACTAACCGACTGTTGCTGTCATCAGTAGTTGGTACCAGACACACTAGTTGCTTAATTTAATTGTTAAAATTTTAATTGATGCCCAATACAGGTAAATTATTGTGTCCATCTGCCATTTGGTGGCAGCCATTTGTCACCAGATGCCGCAAATGGTGAAATCGTCGCCATAAATCTTTTAATATTGGCCTGATGTTTTTGTCATATATAGCGAATATTAGCTTCCACCTTTCCTGGATGGGCTTTCAGTCATTTGGGAAGGGTTCAGAGTATAGCTGCTACTAGGGCTGTTCGATATAACCGTATATATCTGATGACGATATAAAAACGTCCATCGTTTCATTTTATGCTATCGTTTGTTTCGTGGTGTCGCAAAATAAAGTGTTTACGGCAATATTTTTTCATGGTTTTGATGGTCACTGTAGGGGCTATATTAATTTCTTCTTTCCCTTATATTTAATATAACCACACTACAGACAGACAAGCGCCTGTTTTTATGCGTCGTCGTTAGCAACAACGACGGTAACAGCATCGCGTGTCCGCTCGTTTATGTTCCACATAAACCTTTCACAATAAAGCTCAAGATCCTGTCGAGACTTTTCAAAATAAACTGAATCACGTGACAGAGCAGATTGTTTACAGATAAGTAAAAACAGCCGCCAGGTGCTAAAAAATAAAGCTTAGACTCAAACGTTGGAACAGGCTTTTCCCTGCAGCACGCCGTGTAATAAATACTCAAAGAAAACGGCGCCGTTACAACTTATGTCTAAAAATGTATCGTTTCATGCATCAGTTAAAACACTCGACTCCAGCTACACGACGCGCAGCAGGAAACACTTCACGCATGTCGAGCTGCCCGAGATTCACAGACTTTACAGAAAATTTTACATTTCTGTGATTTACATCGTTATCGGACGATAGAGGTCTTATATCGGGATATGAGGTTTTGGTCATATCGCACAGCCCTAGCTGCTACTGCTCCACATTGAAAGGAAACAGCTAAGGGTGTCCTCTTCTGGATAAGGTGTTCCAGCCCTGCATGTCCTACTGGGAGGAGGCCCCGGCGTAAACCCAGGACACACTGGAGAGTGTGTGTATCTGTTCCCTGGGAACATCTTGATGTTCCTTCAGATAAGATGGAAGAAGTGGCAAGAGGGAGGTCTGGGCTGCCCTGCTGCTGTCCCTGGGACAGACTTCATGAGAGTGGCCTGAGGGTCCGAGGTCCTCCAGCGGATTATGTGCTTACTGTTTGGCCCTGTGGAGCCTAATTAGCATTTGCCATAGAATTTTGGAATTGTCACGTCCACTAGTGGGGCTCTGTGGTTTTCAAAGCAGCAGCCGTAGTACCTGCAGCACTCAGTACACGTGAAAGATGTAAAAGGGTCTGGAAATACTGCGGAGAACGTGCAGCATTCGGCCGTGGGTCAGTGAGAGTTTGGTAAGGTATATCCATGGAGCAACGCACCGATCTCTACAGGCTGGATAACAGCACTCAGACTACCCTAGACCCACTGTCAAACCCTATGCAGTTAGTTCTAGGTCCCACCTGCTGCAAGGAAATGCTCAGTCTTGTGTCATTTCTATCAACCCACTCCATATCAGTATAGATTTATTTCCCCATTGAGACCTGATGTGTTTTCAAAGTGTTCCTTTAATTGTTTTGTATCATTATTATATTATGATGTAACAACAATGAGCTGAAGATAAGAAATATACATTCCCTTGAATTTTTTTAATTGAAAATTGCCGATACATTATAACTACATTTAAAAAAAAGAATAAGAAGCAATATTTATATTATGCCAATATAATCTGCCCTGGTTAAATACTCCATCTGTGACCAGCTGAGCCGGAACAATTCTTCTTCTTCTATCCAGCTACAGTTTGCTAGCTGCCACAGCAATGATTACCCAGCAATTACCTGATAGCCACTGAGCTAGTAGTTAAGTGTCTAATGTTAATGTGTGCATCATCCAGGTTAACATTTATGATAACTTCAATGTTGCTGAAACGGGAGCTTTGCAGACCTCTAACATTCCTCTTAAGCTGTTTGTATCAATATTGATGCAAAGTATCGTAATTCTGTATTCATTTTCGTATCAATAAATACTGGAGTAACATTTTTTTTTCTTGACAATCCTACTGTGTAGATGTCTAAAGCCCCGCCTCCAACCTGAGCGGTCTCTCAGATAAACTCATCTCTAATCTAGCTCCTCCTGGTTCGTTCCAACAAAAGCACACATGATTACAGATGATTGATTTATTGCAAATATCCAACAAATCTCGATTTCGTCACCAGTAACACTGATGTTCAGAAGTACAATAAAAGTCTGTTTTTAAAAGTGAATATTTGGCTCATTAAATCAAAGGCCAATCAGTTTTGATCTTTTGTAATGCTGCTGGATATTCCAAAAAAAGGAATGCAACAAATCTGTCATTAGTCACACACTCGGTGAGATTATGTGGGTATAAAACCCAGATCTGCATCTCCAGAAACACTTCCCTCTTTGTCTTACAGTGTAATGCATTAGTGATTTTCCACTCTATGGTCACATGCTTTATTCACTAAAATTAAATTACTAACACTGCTCCTTTGATAAATGGGTTTTCAAAAACCTCTAGCTGTAACTCCACCTGTCTACATACTTTTGCTATGATTTTGAAAAAACAAATAAAAACAAACATTTTCTGGAGATGAGAAGTTCACCTGAAAAACCACCTCAGTGTAGGGAATGGAAAAATGAAACACTGGGTTAGATCATGGTGAAGTCAGCTGTGTAAGTCCACTATGGAGCAGCAGTGGTCACACGTGGCAGCTAATCACGGGTACACAAAGATCTGCTGGAGCTCACAGCACGAATCACTGGGATCCTTTCAGATATGTTAAA